TAAAATCATCAAATGACGATTTAAATTACAACAGTATGTTGTATGTGGCATTCCCTCTTTTTACTTTCATTCACTTTGTATTGAAATGCTCCTGTTTTTTGAAATGAAACCACAACATTTGTCCATGCCAATTTTGGGTAACACTGGTCGTATGGTACCCATATAAAACATGCCGTGGTGAGACAATTGCAAATCCACACAAAAAACAAGATAAATCGTAAATATTTAGATGCTAGAAGAAATGTTTTACTGTGTGGCATGTATAAACATGAGACCCACTGTACCCAAAGTGTTGAAACATTTATTTTCAATTGACAAGAATCTGCTTTTTTCAGAGAGATCGTGGCTGAACATGGTATTGCGGTTGTAGATTGTTCATGGAATAAATTAGAAGAAACGCCTTTCCACAAAATGAAAGGTTCTCACTTGAGGCTCTTACCATACTTACTAGCAGCAAATCCAATCAATTATGGCAGGCCATGTAAGCTGTCTTGTGTTGAAGCATTTGCCGCCATATTCTATATTGTTGGTATGTACCGCTAATAATATGAGGTTATTACGAGGATACCTCAAAGTATGCACGGAGACAGTGCAGCGGGAGTATCGACCGGCGCACAGTGGATGGTCGATGCGACGGTGTACTGTCTTTCATGCCATACTTTGAGGTATCCTTGTAATAACCTCATTATTATATATCTTTTCCTTCCAAGGATACATCATGGGAATGCCAAAATCCAAAATGTTTAGAATCAGCAAATTTCTTTGTGTGAAGTCCAATCAAACCCTAGTGGCAGTCATGTTTGGAATTCACATTTCCTAATATGGTAGGATGAAAATAGCCCGTAAATACCGCAAAATTACGGCATGCTGTAACTCATGGCGTTACGGTGACAGATGTATAATAATAATAAATATGAGATTATCACAAGAATATGGCAAAGTATGCATCAAAGCATTTGACAATTGTACCTACCTATGCATAGGGGAGGTTGATAACTTAATTAATATTCATCTTTCTTGGTTTGTAGTACTATTAAATCTGTATTAGAAGCCACAGTTTCTATTAAAATGGTACAATGCAACAGAGAAGATGCAGCTTATTAGAGCATCTACACATATGAGAGATGATGAATTTTTGGTTCTCAATTGTTCAAAAAGAATGGGTGCCACTTCTATTAAAGATTCAGCTTCTAATACAGATCTTACGATAATAATTTAATAAGAGCCAAAAATGCCAACAAAAAATGAGTTTCCTCCTGAGATGAAAACCACCTTTGGTGGTGTGATTTAAACCCATGTAACCTGAGGAGAACATTGCTTTCTGTTCTACCAACTCAGTAGGCTATACAGTGCAAGTAACATTTTATTGGCAGTTTTACCTTTGGATTATTCTTGTTTATATCATCTCTCTATCCAAAATAGTGAAAGTAAATTTATTTATTTGCTCCAAAATTCTGTCAGATTATGAAAAAGCAGCAAAAAATAGTTTTCACTACAAAAACTCACAAACCTGTGGATATTCCCTAAAGGGTTCTCCATTTGACTGTGCTGGATGGGTTGTAGTTGAAAAGAAAAAATAAATAGAAAAATGTGCTGAATGTACAAGAATTGAAAAATGAGCAAAAAACAAAATCAATGTCTGCCATGAATGAATATTATAATTCCTTCATCCAAGAAGTGGAAATCATGCGAATATGTTGTATAAATTTGATTATTTCTTTTTTTGCAGGATATGAGGGAGTTGGAGAGCATCTATTGAGTAAATTTAGGTGGGGTGGAGGATTCCACGACATCAATGCAGTGCCATTACAACTATATGCTCAGTGCAAAACAGGATCTGAAGTGGTTGAAGCGCAACAGAAATGGATTGAACAGTGTAAAACACCGTTCAGTGCAGGTAAGTAAGTCTATATTCAAAATATGTATAGATCGACTGCTTTTAACTCAATTTGACACATTGTTTGCACAAATATGGTGAAAAATATTGGAAACATCTCCTAATGCACTGACATGGTGTATTAACAATTGGACACATCTCATAATGCACTGACATGGTGTAACAAATTGGACACATCTCACAATGCACTGACATGGTGTAACAAATTGGACACATCTCACAATGCACTGACATGGTGTAACAAATTGGACACATCTCACAAT